GTGTCTTGTGTTCAGTGCTGAGTGTGTGTTGTGCTCAGAGGTGAGAGTGTGTTGGGCTCAGAGGTGAGTGTGTGTTGTGCTCAGAGCTGTGTGTGTTGGGCTCAGAGATGAGTTTGTGTTGGGCTCAGAGCTGTGTGTTTTGGGCTCAGAGGTGAGTGTGTGTTAGGCTCAGATCTGAGCAAATAAACAGTCACAGAGGGAGAGATGGAGAGAGGGATGAAACGGAATGACAGAAGAAAGAAGCCTGTTTAACCTGCTGGGCTTGTAACTCCGTGGTTCTTGTCTTCATTGATGACTACAGGAGAGACAGAGAGGGAGAGAGAGATGTCACGTCCAGTAGACACTATCTGTATCAGAGCGGCTCCAGCGCTCTCTGTACCCCGACACTACGCCTCAGGCATCCACACACAAGCACAGAGAGGGTGGAGAGGCAGTGACTGTGTGTTACCTGAGATGGCAGTATCTGAGGAGTTGCTCTGACCATCACTCATCTCTGCAGACAAAAAGGAGGGGTGGTAAGTGTTGTCTAGCATTGACATTCAGCAGCCACTCAGTCCACTCTGTCCATCTCAATTCTGACTGTCCATCTCAGTTCACACTGTCCATTTCAATCCACTCTGTCCACTCCAATCCATCTCAGTCCACTCAGTCCATCTCAGTTCACACTGTCCATCCCAGTCCACCTCAATTCGAACTGTCCATCTTAGTCCACTCTGTCCATCTCAATTCACACTATCCATCTCAGTCCACACTGTCCACTCCAATCCATCTCAGTCCACTCAGTCCATCTCAGTCCACACTGTCCATCCCAGTCCACCTCAATTCGAACTGTCCATCTTAGTCCACTCTGTCCATCTCAATTCACACTGTCCATCTCAGTCCACACTGTCCATTTCAATCCACTCTGTCCACTCCAATCCATCTCAGTCCACTCAGTCCATCTCAGTCCACACTGTCCATCTCAGTCCATCTCAATCCACCTAGTCCGTCTTTCCCTGTTTTTTCTTTCACCCCGCTTGCCCCTCAGTTGTCCTCTCTCTCTCTCCTCCTGCCCCCTAACCCCCCTCCTCCCTCCCTGCGCCTCCAGCTGCCGCCTGCTCACCGAGGTCCACCTGGGTGCCGTTGCTGCAGTGCCAGGCAAGACTGGGGATCTCCATCACCACGACGCACACGTAGTGCCCACTGTCGCTGGCCGTGACCCCTGTCAGGGTCAGCGAAGACCAGTTTGCCTCCACCCGTTGGACCAGGCGACCCGCACCATCCCGAGCTGATGTCTGGTTGGACGAGGCCAGTGCGGATATGAGCTTGGTGCCGTTCTGACAGCCTGACCCGCCTGACCCGGGACGATCCCTCTTCCTCCACTCCACCCGGAGCTGCACCGCCGCAGACTCAGCCCCGAAGCTGCAGTTGAGGGAGACAGACGAGCCGCCGGCGGCCATGACCGGGCCGGGGGGCTGGGATACCCACAGGATACTCTGTGCGCCGGCCGAGACTGGACACAACCAGGCAGAGAGGGAACAGAGGGAAGGTAACATTCTCAGCTCCTGCTCGTTGGACTGACCCTGTCCTCTCTAGAGTGACAGGCAGTCTGGCCTGTCTCACAAGTTTCTATGAAAGAGTCATCATGGAAGAAAACAGAATTGTCCAGGTGGAGTGGTGACCCACATTCAGTTCTGCACCTGGGGTGCTGTCTGTGTGGAGTCTGTATGTTCTCCCCTCGTTCTCGTGGGTGTCCTCTGGTGACAGTGTGTGTCTGTGTCTGTGGGCCCGGCGATGGACTGGCGTCCTGCCCAGGTGTACCCTGCCATGTGATTGAGGCTTGCTGGACAGGCTCTGGCACGTCCTGCGACCCTGAACTGGGTAAAGTGGTTTCGAACATGGATGGAAAAACAAAATTGTAGTTTTTAAGGGACTAATGTGGCATGCATGCGTAGGAGCAGAATAAAGTGCAGTAAAGCATAGAGAGATCGTGGTAACAGCACAGTAAAGTGCAGTAAAGCACAGTAAAGTGCAGTAAAGCCCTTTGAGATCATGGTACAGCCCTGGCCCTAGTGAAGCCCAGAGAGAGCACAGCGTGCTTCTCGTCGTGCTGGCTGAGTGCACTGCTCCCCAGGCAGCCACATGTGGGGGCATCTGCACTCTGAACCCTGTTTCATCTTGGCTCACTGCGCTGCTGTGGTCTGTGTGCAGTTGTGTAAGAGGGGGTACTGTGGTTTGACCTGTTCTGTGCTGATGCAGCTAGATCTGCGTGTGTGTGTGTGTGTGT